TAAGTCCGCTCTTCGTTTAGGAAGGTCAAGGTGAGCGGCTGGCACTGGGGATGGTGGGTGTGTGCCAGGAGTACCTGAACCTAGAGAATAAACAATGGGGGTTTTCTTGGGTGTCAATTTTACCCACATATTTAAGGATAAAAACACTCTTGTAAAAAAAAAAAATTACTTATTTATTTAATTCCATTTGTCGTTATTATTTTTTAATTTGACCAGAGAGAGAGAGAGAGAGAGAAAGGGAGAAAACAAGCCACCAAGTCTGGGACTTGAACTGTGGTTGGCCGTGTGGGAATCCAGTGCCTTTAATCACCACACCACCTGCTGGCCCCAAAGCACTTTTTATGTTAGAATAATCACAAATGTATTTTGGAGTAGGACCCCAAAATTGTATACCTTTTTAACCTAAAACAAGAAACTTCAAAAAAATGTTTTACCTGGCCTTAGGGCTGCCATTTGGCCCAAACCTAGCCCTTGAGGGTTTGTTTGCATTGTAATTAGGGCTACTCACAGAGGCAGTTTGATTGTTTGCTGCGAAGTCCTCCCTGGAGCAACTTCAAATAACAGTCAACCTAGGCTACCTATATAACTTTCACTTCAACTCCAGGTGAGGTTTTTAACCTTGTTTTATGGATGAGGATCCCAAGGCTCCAAGTCTGGTCCTTGGTCAAGATCAGACTGCTTGTGAACTGAGGCTTAAATCCAGCAGCTGGATACTAAAGCCCAGCTCTCCGATCCTCTCTGCCCGGCAATAGTTCCATTAGTGATTGGTTCATAGTGATTTGAATTTGTGGCTTCCTGGATTATTAACCAACTCTTGACTAAATGTTTTTCTTCATTCTTCAGCATTCTTCTTGTCAAGCGGACATGTGATGTATAGTTGAAAGAATGGGAACTGTTTTGACTAGACAGGGGAGGCTGGCGTGGGTGTGGCTACATGTGAGCCTCCCTAAACTCTTGAGGGGCTTGGCATGTTGAAAGTGGGGTGTCACAAATCTGAGCGGGCTTGCTCATAATGTTGACCATTCCAAAGAACACACCCAGAGGGGCAGCAGGGGAAGGCATGAGTTACTTCCTAGGATGGGAAGCTCCACTGCCAGGCTGACAGAGCCGTGGCCGCCATGAGCCTTTAACATTACGTATGTTACAGATCAAAGGGTGATGCATCACCGGTAAGGTCCGCGCAGGCTCCCTGTCTCCAAGGCGGGGATCTGCTTCCTACACACGTTGTTTGAGGATGACAATAAAAGGTCAAGTTATCGGTAAGCAGCGTTGCCAGAGCTTAATCATTTAGTGCCTCTGATCCTGCAGTGTTGATGTGGGAGGGAAGCACAAACTTCCAGAATGTTCCCAGCCACCAGCCAGTTCCATGAGGTAAGGAAATGGTAATGAGACGTTCGCAGGGCCCACCTGGACCAGCAGCCAGGTCTCAGGAAGGTAAGGCAGAAGAAAGAGGGAGGAGAGCTCAGTGCAGGGATGAGGGATACATGCCCTCTTGGTGGTGCTGGATGGTACACTCTGGTGAATTTGATGACGTGACTTTTTTTTTTTTTAAGAATTATTTTAATTAACTTTATTTATTTATTTTTAATTTGACCAGAGAGGGACAGAATGAGAGAGAGGGGTGGGGGAAGTGAGAAAGCAAGCTGCCAGGTCCAGGACTCGAACCACAGTTGGCCACCTGCTGGCCACATGATGATGTGACTTTTGAAACCCATAGATTAGATAACCTGGGTGTTGATAAGAGCTCTCTCTCTAGAGGTGCCTGGGTAGAGGCTTGGCAGCCCTTTCCTGATGGGCCTGTGAAGGGTAGAAGGTTAAGCGAAGAACTTCTAAAGCTGCTGTTCCCAGACTTTAAGGTGCACCAGAGCCATCCAGAAGGTTGTACAACATGCAGATTCTTGACCGACTTCCTCAGAACTGCGATTCACTATAATGGAGGGGATGCAGGAATTTGCATATTTAACAGGCTCCATGGGTAATTATGATGCATGTACTTTGAGGACCTCGTTTTGAGAAACTGACTTTTGGAAACACTTACATGTGTATGTGTATATGTGACAAATGGAATAAGCAGTAATTACATATGGCCTCAAGCCAGCAGATGGTGTGGAGACTAAGGCAGTTGGATCACACATGGCCAACTTCACAGTTCAAGCCCTAGAACCAGCGGCTTGAGAATCATGATGGGCGTGTGTGTGCATGCAGGCACACACCCGTGCATGTGTGCCCAAAATCCCAAGAGGACAATGGAAGAGAAGGGATTGCAGCATGGCCATCCCTACTGAGGGATGACCTTTCTCACTCCCTTTCTCTATTTCTCTCTCTCAATATCTGTCTTTCTCTGGTGAGTGCACACGCCTTATAACAAACTAAAAATAATATGGCTTTAATGGAACTTAAGTCTGTTCTGTTACAAACTCTAGGCAATGTAATAAATGCTAAAAGATTCCCATTCTCATGGGACCAGCAGTTAGCGTAATGGCTATGTCACCGGACTCCTATGTAGCCGACCACGGTTCGAGTCCCGAACACGGTGGCTTAAATTCATGCTGGACACGTGTGTGTGCATGCCCAAGATCCCGAGAGGAGAATGAAGGAGAAGGGATTGCGGCGTGGCCATCCCCCCGGGGGGTGATTTCTCGCTTTCTGTCTCTCTGTCTCTCTCTTTCTGGTGAGCGCACGCGCCCTGTAGCAAAAACCTCTCCAAAAAAAAAAAAAAAAAAGAAATTAAATAAAAGATTCCCATTCTCAAGGATAGTGCTTTGTTACACCAATCGCCTCCCCTTTGTGATTGGATTAAATGGTTTTGTGTTTTGTTTTGTTTTGTTTTGTTTTCCTTCTTCCCTCTCCAAATTTACCTTCTAGTCTAGTAGAGTTTAACACCTCCAAAAACATGCAGAGCTCCTATTGAAGGTTTGTTTGTTGATTGCTTAACTGTGTTGAAACTGAGATGAATCACACATTAAGACCAATTCCCTTAGGAATTTAGTATGGCTCTCTAAGGCCTCTGGTTGGTTTTATTGGGAGTAATTTGTTAATGTTTGAACTGGACTGAGAGCTTTTGCTATGGGAACCTGAACCACTGCCTTTGAAGAATTCTTTTTTAAGGTTCAAGTTGTTTGAGGTCAGTAAATTGCCGTACTGCTTGGTCCAGACTGCTTGAAAAACCAGAGTGATTGTTATACAGAGTCAGCAGCAGGAGTCAACTGCTGCTGTAGGCCAGACTTCATTACTATGGCCAGACCTTCCAAATCCTTCCCCTCCAAACATCATGAACCCTTTATTCCTACAAACAGCACAGTGCGCCATCTCCCTGACACGTGACTCCCTTACCCCTTCTAAGGGGCTTTTGTCAAGACATGAGAAAGACCTCTTTGCCTAGTCACTGTGGTCTGGAGAATCCTCTGGGTATAGACCCTCACTCTCTTGGAGAGGTAGCCTTTTTTTTTTTCTTTTCTTTTCTTTTTTTTTTTTTTTAATTTTTTGAGTTTTTTGCTGTAAGGATGGGTGAGGAGACAAGGAGAGACAGTGAGGGGGGAAGTGAGAAATCACTCCCTGGAGAGGATGGCCATGCCACAATTCCCTCTCTCCTCTATTCTCCCTCCTGCAATTTTGGACACGCATGC